TCAAGCGTTCCATAAAATATCCATCCAAACGGCCATAAATAACACAGAAAACATGCCTCAGGTGACACGTTCTAACAATTCCGCTATTAGTATCGATAATGACGCATCTGATTTGTGACTTCTCGTCAACTTTGTGCTATTTTTGTTTAAAAAAACGAATGCTACGTTTCTTCCAATTTTGGTCAAATGACAAATAAGCGTCAAGTTAGGTGTACATAATACGTCATTATTGATAAAGTATGAGATTGCCCAAATATTTTATGATTGATTTGATAACCTTAAAGATGTCTTTCAAAGAATATGTGAGAATTAAGTACATAGGTTGTTGCTCATGGGAGATGTTAGCCACTAAAATACCTTAAATTTAGGGTTTGGTCAAAACAGTGAGAAGATGTCCTTACTTTAGGCTAAATAATAAGAAGAGATCGAATTAGAGAGTAAAAATAAGTTACTGAGCATTAAGTTTGATAAACATAGAAGATGATAAAGTTGATTAGATTTGAAGTTGTCTTTTCTTCTTGCTGAACAGCCAAACCAAAGTCAGCTAATTAATTATGCAAAAATGAGTAGATTTTGTCGTTTTTAGAGGGGGTCCCTGTAAATCCCAGGGAATTCAATATTGCGACCTTATTTTTTGTCGAGGTTAATATCTCACCACACCAATCAATTGTGCCAAGTTTGAGCGAAATCCGTGATTTGAGCATTATCACCTCCTGCCTGGTTCTCTCATGGACACACTCTTAAAACAGGTTTCACAATGAAGGGTTTGAACCCAGGAGTCAGTAGGTTGAGCATGATCGTCCGGGTCAACGTAGTCCTGAATAGGACAGTTGTTACAGTCCAAGCAGGTCAAGCGTTTCCGTCGAGTCGCCAGCGAACTAATGAATTCATTAATGAAAAAATGATTTCGTTTGTTGATTCAATAATTCATAAAATGAATAAATATCATTGGTGCATTTCGATCAGTCTATTGTCACAGCTAAATAGCCGTTTATTTTAAGTCAAATTGTCAATTGTTTAGTCATTCTCTCGTAGATAGATTTGCTCGAGTCCGTCGATAAGTCGTTTGTGCGGTGCCGGTCTCACTCTAATGGTCAATACAAAATTAAGCAGCTTACATCATCTGTGGTCAGTTGGTTTCCTCCTTTCAATAGATAAACACTTTTGTCAACAGCAGCGAGGGCAATCTGAGATCCTGGTGCAGCCGTGATAATGATTCTGGTGTTTTCTCCTGGTTTCCTTATGCTGTCGGCAAAGCGTAAATTCACCTGTAGAAAAACAAGTTCAGGCATAGGATGATTTTCATCACGTCAGGCCGAATGGTTAGAGACAGTGGGTGTAACTCAGCAGGCGGGGGAGGGGGGGAGGGGGCTACTCAACAAAGGTTTATAAGGTGAAGCTCCGCCCCCGAGGTCCAACCCATTACCTGTAGAAAAACAAGTTCAGGTATACACCCATTTCAAAAAAGGTTGTCGGAGAGAACGGCGAATGACAATTGTCGAACGGACATTGTACGACCGAAAAGAGCTGTGGGTTTTGAATATTGATGGTAAATAATCAACTATCTAAGCTAGTCAACGATGACTGTTCCATTTAGCGGGGACCTTCCATTGCGGGTTATCTGGTTTGTCCAGCATTCGGTTGCGGAGACTTCATTTTTCTTGGGCATTTCTGAAAGAACAGTTGAGCGCTATATTTCTAACTTTCTTGTGACTGGCGATGTAAAGTCGGAGATAATAGGCCGTTCATACGAGGCAAGGAGAAACGTTTTTTAATTGAAAAAAGCGTAAGTTTCTTTTGTCTTCGGAGTCCAGCACCCTCAGAGGAACGTTCATAGTTGGTGTTGATTTTTACGCAAGGTGAACGCAGCTTATGAAATTTTGCGTATGAAATAGCGTAACCACAGTTCCTTTCGGTCGTCCAACCTCCGTTCGACATTAGCCGTTCGCCATTCTCTCCGACCACTTTTTTTGAAATAGCTGTATATACAGCTATTCGGAAAAACTGCAACAATTCCGAAAAGTGTTGTGGGTGGTTTTGAGTTCACTGTTCCTCAAAGAAATTTGAAAGAATGGCAGGAAAAGGCATGGACGAATGTTTGCGAGTGCTAAAGGAAAGCGTCAAAAGGGGGAGTGTAAAATGCAGACTGCGAGCAGACTGCGGACTATTGTTTTTAGGGTTAGAAAACAATGGCACTATTGTTGTCACGTACTCATTTGCATGGTGAAAATAATAGTCCGCAGTCTTCAAAAGTAGGTTCGACAGCTACAGTGTTGATCATATCCCATATTACCTTTGGGGATTGTCACGTGAACATTTTTTCCGACAACCATTCTCCAAATAGCTGTATATGGTATTTTCATCACCTAGTGGCTCTAACCCAGGGAGGGTGGGAGGGGGGCTAAACTCAATAACGTTTTATACAGGGAGGCCCTACCCCGAGGTCCAACCCCTCCATCTCTTATATCTACCATTTTTGACAGAAAGTATACCCCTTTCGTATACCTTTAATTGAAAAACTGTACCCTTTGGCATACAAAATACAGTTGAACCTCCACTAAGCGGCCACCTATTTAGCCTCACACGCAGGCAATTTTAGGGGAGCTCGTATTTCTTCCCTCCCCACAAACGCCCTCTCAACCGAAAACAACATTCCTTTCCCATTGTTTTATTTGCGTGGACAGTGACCAATCAGCAGTTGAGAAATGAAGTGTTGATGGGCTAAACACAACTAAAACGTGACCCTAGAGTTACCTTTTTTCTTCTTTCCTTTCCTTCTCTAAGGTTATGCAGTGCATGGAGTATTCTAAAATTTCACTAACACTTTTTTGCCGCTCTGAATCTAACATTTATTAGAGGTCGGAAAGCTTTCCCAGTGTTTCATGCAGATCGAGTAATTATCAGATTACCCTGCGGTACATGGTCAACTTTCCAGAATTTGGAAAGTACAAAGTGATTGGCTAAGCTTGGGAAAGGAATGTTGTCTTCGGTTGAGCAGGCGTTTGTGGGGAGGGATGAAAGACGAGCTCCTCTAAAAACGCCTGTGTGGGAGGCTACCACCTATAAAGCGCCACAGTTTATCAAACGTCCAGTAATAAAAGTCCGGAAATAATTAAAGAAAAGAATGGGAAATCAAACTTCTATTCAGCAGCCACCTTTTTGCCGTCCCAACGAGAGTTCTTCCATTGTTGTCACCTCTATTAAGCAGCCACCAAGCACTTGATACACTTTGTTTGGCTTCATTTTAAGAATATGATGAAGGAAAATACAGTCCGAGATAAACGGGGACGACCGATTGTGGACCAGCAATGCTGCTCCTGTCGTCGCGTGTTTGTTTCAAAATAAAGTGATGTTTCTGTTAAAGATTATGCTCATGTCATGCTAATTTATAACGAACCTCAATTTTCTTGTGAAAATGAGTTTTATTTGCATGAGAATGAAAAATCATTTCCATATCAAAGGCTGAGCACTTAACCTCCTTTTGATACAGAGGCCCGGGGGAACTCGGAAATGGCGTATTGCCAGTACCCCAGCCAAGGGTGGCCACCTAATGAACGTTCAGCCATAATAAGACTGAATGAATCGCTATAACAGCAAGTTTTCTGATCATATTCGTGTAACAATTATTTAAACAAAATTATATCGCCATAAGGCGCGTATTGTCGAAGCATTTTAATAAAATACTTAAATGATAGATTTTCCAAGCCTTTCATATACTTCAACCCGTGAATTCCCTACCCCGTGATATACCTAAAGCCTGAAGAAGGTACCCCTTTTGGACGGGGCCATTATAGGGAGTGCCCCCGGGGGGTCTAATCAAGGGAAAATGGAACAAGTTCGTCTAATGAAAAGACCGACTGACGATTATTCGCGGTAGGCGACTATTTTAAATATTTCCACCAAAGGGGAGCGATTATTTGAGGGAAGGCTATTATTCAAGGAAATACGGTAGTTAGTACTTTAATTTACATCTCTAGTGTTATCGATAAGGTACAGTGTTCACGCAAAAAAGGGTAAAACAGTGACGCCATCAAGGAGGTTACACGCAAAGGGCGAAACATCTACCCTTCAGACGAGGAAATACACCAATATAATCCGAAAGATTTATCAATCCTCCCGATTTAATAATAAAAATGCTTTCAGAAAATGAAAAAATATATTTTTTCCAGATTTCAGCTGTACGCACGGGCGTATGTGCGTATATGGGCGCTACCCTCCTTTTTACGGTATTATTTTGGCGTCTGTAGACAATAGAGACCTTTAGATTCTAAGACGAGAACGACTACGAGCACGAGATTTTTTCAATAGCAAGTAGTGCTCGCGCGTGAGGCAGCGTCACTTTGGCGGAAAAACGTGGTAGCCGTCGTCATTCTACTACGAGTTTTAGCGAGAATGTCGTAGTGGGGATACAACTTATCAAGTGTCAGAAGTTTTCACATTTTGCAATCAAGAGAGGTCTTAACCTCGTTCAAAAACGATAACATTGCTAACTTTTCTGGTGAAAAAAGTACAATGAAGAATTCCAGGGTGTGTATATTTTGAGAATACGCGAAAAAACTTAAAATCAAATCTCGTAGTCGTAGTCGTTCTCGTCCTCGAATCTAAAGGTCTCTATCAAGACCCCATTTACACGGGTCCAGGCAAATTTTTGAACTTGCACAGGTCCGCCTTTCGTTCACACGTGCCCGCGGATACGTGCAGGTTTGTGAACGGAAAATAGTACTGCAATATGTAAGAGAATTTGCACGGTTCCGAGCAGACGGATTGCACAGGTCCGTTCAAAAATTCGTTCGGAACCGAACAAACGGGGTCTAAAGGTGATGTTACATGGGACGATTTGCAACGACGATTTTTAGCGCAACGCAGTGTTGCAATGTTGGAACAATGTTGTAACTATTCGAAACAACGTCGCAACAATGTTGCAACGCTGTGTTGCGCTAAAAATCGTCGTTGCGAATCGTCTTTTGTAACAATGGATTAAGAGTACCCAAAAACGTGCTTTAGAATGAACACTGATGATCTACCTTGTTTTCCAAAGTGTCTTCGACATCAATCACCAAGTTATCAGCCACAGTCTCCTTGTTTTGGTCCTCCCTCACATAGAACAGTAAGACGCGGCATTTTGGCACCATCTTCTGGGTTACATTAAACTCAATGAAGCCCTGGCTGGTGAACATGTCTTCGTTCTTGGAATTTTTGAATGTTTTCATGCCAGGCTGATAATCAACGGGATGTAGTTTACGTTCCTGGGCCACAAGCTTTCCACGACTAAACACCTTTCAATTACAAAGAGAGAATACATGCATGTAACTTAGAACACTGCAAAACAATCAAGCCATTTCCTAACCAGCGTAGCGAGCGTTTCCGCGCGAGTTCGTCAAGAAAGTTATGACGAGAGCTAAAAAACTCAACTGTAACTCGATGGAAGCGCTTGCTATGTAGGCAAGCCATTTCTCTGTCAATTGCCATAACTAAAACCTGCTTGCCGCCAGTAAAAAAATATCATACAGTTGCAATCAAAAGCTAAATTTCAACTTTGACCCAAAGGAGTAAAACAGGGAGTTGGAAAAGGCAGTCATAAAAAAAAAGGTTAAAATAAAATAAATGATTTTGTACTCACTTGCAAATGGAAGTTGATATTTCTAGTATCCCTGCTAGTAGTGAAATCAAACATAATCTTAGCACTGGATCCAACCTGTTGAATATGAAGGTTTGACAACAAATAATGAACTGTTGTTATAAACGAGTTTGGGATTTACCCTTTCACCCTTAAAAAACAAATTTCGCCTTGTATAGAATTCTCAGAAAAACGTACAACTACACTGAAACTCTGTCAAAGAGTTTACATTTGAATGGTAACACCACACCACAGACTTTCGTCCAAATATTTAAAAGTTAGGGTGACAAATACTTTCACGATAACCACACAATCAGAGTATTGACTGAAATATCCAGATAAATACTTCAAACTATAGCGCACAAAGGAAATACAGAATACCTTGTGGTGCTAATTGTTTTGCGTTTTTTTCGGCGATCCGCCAAAAAAAGTTTCCCGCAACTGGAAAATTTACTCCACTGTAGATACCGGTATGCTGTACAAAAACTTCGCTACACAAAACTACTATGAAATAGTGCCTGTTGAATTTAAATCGTTAAAATGTTATTTGAATCCACTAGAACGCGACTTTTGAGTTTGACTCAATTTTTGTGAAGGTGTGATGAAAATGAGCAAACTGACCACTGAAAGTACACCGAGGGGCCTGGTCCCCTTAACCCTTTAAACCCTAAGATCAAAATTTGAATTCTCATTTGTTGCTTCTATTCATTTCCTACAGAAGTAGTGGGGAGAAGTCGATAAAATATTAAGTAAATTCTTAGTCATCTTTACGTTCTTACAGTCTTTAACGTGATTATTCCTACCCATTTACTTTATCAAAAGTAGGCGAACCCTCCTGGAGGTGAATTCCTCGGATCCCTATCCAAGTGAGAGAAATAAAATTTCGTCGTCGCTTGTTTACGTCCTCCATGAAACGTCCAATTAGGAAATTTCACATCGTAGTCGTGTAAAAAAGGCAAAGAAATGTACAAAAACGTGTGTTTTACCTTCTACAGGGTTCGTACCCTTTTTTGAACAAAAACTTCTCAAACTCATTAATAATTCATAAAGAAAATACAAAGAAAATTAATGTTTAATGAGTGTTTGGAAATCGGATGAAAAACTGCTCAGTATTTGCATCCTTAATTTCTCCTTCAAAAATGATTTTGTTTGAGAAGAAATATCAAACATTCGACACAGTGTTTCATCATCAGATGAAACACCTCGAAGTTCGTCAAAAATACTCCGCTGCACGTCGTATTTTCAACTCTCTTCTCGGTGTTTCATCTGGTGATGAAACACTGCGTCTCATGTTTGATATATTACATGAAACACTGCGTCTCATGTTTGATATATTACTTCAAGGACTTTTCAAGGACTTTCAAGGACACATTTCGCATTTTTCAAGGACTCCATTCAGTGCAAAAAAGAGATTTGAGTCTATGTCTTTTTTAGTTCTACCACAACATGAGCAATTTTATCCTGAAGGTCTTTCATATTAGGTACTTGAGAATCTGGGTTGGATAAAGTTAGCACCGAAATTCAAGGACTTTCCAGCAACGACTGCAATTTTCAAGGACTTTCAAGGCCTTGAACTTTTTATTTCAAATTTCAAGGACTTTCAAGGTGCGTGCGAACCCTGCTTCTAAACCTATTGCTTGATTGTTTGTTTTGACGTTCTCGTTGCGATCGCGTCGTCGGATCGTGAAGTCCCTAGTAGTATGCATAGAATGCAGGGGTTACCATTAATTACACAAACCACCCGCATAAACAAAAAACCCTGTAAAATTTGACGTGGTGGGAGATCGACCCTCTACAATGTATATCCCGATCTACTAAAGATAGTAGAAAATTGCATCACCTAGACGGGGAGGCTCTGCCCGAAAGGGGTACCTTGATCACGCTTCAGGTATATGAAAGGGTTGGGATTTAACTTGCTGAAGTATATAAAAGGGTAGGGAAATCTGTCATTTCGGTCTGTAAAAGCGACCTAAAAAGGCAAACAGAAGGATTTTATGGCTCTGAAAAAGTCGCAAAAATCTCCCATTTTAGTGACTTATTCACAATTTCAGTTAAGACTGTATTTTCAGCAGTTAAGGATGCAAAGTTCTCAGTAAGTTATGTGAAAGGGGTACCATATTTTGTCAGGAGATGGTATACGAAAAGGGTATCTTTTCTGTCAAAAACGGCATACAGAAGAGACTCCCCCCCCCCCAGCCCCCATAAATTTGAACAGTACCCCCGGGATCACAGCCCATATTTTCTGAAGCTACTCAAAAGGAAAGGCACGAACCATTTGATTTTCCAAACGGAATTAACGAGTTTTAGCTATGTAAATGGTAAGTAGCCCAGGTCCAGCACAAAATAACAACAATTAAGTTAACGATTTATTGCAAAAGTTTACTCACTTTCAGTGGAACGGTGATCTTTTCCATTTCAATATAACTGTTACTTGGAGAAAACCAACGCTGCCCTACGTTATAGCTACTTCCACGTTTACCATTGTAATTTGCCTACCAATAAAAATTGATAACGAGGAATAAGCACATCAAAATAACATTTTTTTCAATTTTTTTCTTTACAGTCTAATCTTTTGATCATGTACTGATATTGCAAGGATAGAATTGATGTTAGTCACTTTTGGGACTTAAAGGGGATAATAATTTATTATGCAAACCATACATCTCTTACAAAAGAAAAAAAAGGTAATGTTCTCTCAATGCTGACCAGTGCATTGGTGTTCGACTTTATTTCTTTTTAATTAATAATAACAAATAGCTAAAATTCAAAGGCATACCTCCAGCGTCAGGGATCTTGCCTTCTGTGAAATTTGTTTACCAGGAACCACAAAATTGATGACTCCATTTTCTGGAACAGTATATTTCTTTCGGAACACTTCTTGTTGTAAATAGCTCGAGTACCAATATGGTCTCTCATTAGGAATTTTAACAATGAGTTCAATTGACTTCCCTTTGAGTGGACTTCCATCAATCAGAGTGGCTTTCAACTGCATGAGGTAAACATCATGATGCCAAGAAAATCAGTGAATTGCAAGCTGTAGTTAGTATCCATGTGCTAGCCCGAAAGTCATTTAGAGTAGCCCAAAGAAATTTTTGACGAGCACGATTAATAGCTAATTAATTAATGATATCTAGTAATTAATTATACCATAAAATTCGTTGTAAATACAGTTGAACCTCCATTAAGCAGGGACCCTCGGGGTGCCGGCAAGTGGCCACTTGATGGAGGTTGGCCGCTCAATAGAGCGGTTTGTGATCGATAAAAAGGGTCATAAATTAGCATAATCTTATTTCAAAACAAACACGCGGAGGCGGCAGCATTACTGGTACACAATCGGTTGTCACCTTCTATCTCGGGCTGTTTTCCTTCATCATATTCTTGAAATAAAGGAAAACTTAGTCTGTAAAGTGCTTGATGGTCACTTAAGAGCAGTTGTCTGTAAGATTCGAGCTATATTAAAAAGGCGCTGCCACACTATCTCACCGAATTGGCTAAAAATTGGCATGTAGACTTGATTTGAGGTCTTTAATAAGGAATAGGTAACTTTAGGTTCTAATTCCTCCTACTTCGGAAATTATCGACATGGCCGGTTTTTGGGTGCCTCGGACCGGCGCCATATTGGTTAATAGAAGCTGCTTTTGAGCCTTCGACTTCAACCCTGTCTTCAAAGCTAATCTTCCTTTGCCAATACAGATTGAAAGAACAATCCCTCTTTATTGTATTCTTAGAAACTACTTCGAAATTGATAACGTTTTCGCAACGATCGATTAAACTTTTGGTGGGTATACTTTGTGAATTTTTTACACCCGCAAAATTAACAGAATTTTAAAGGCGTATATCTCTTTTGCCACATCGCATTGAAGCTTGCCAATCTGCCTGAATACTCACTGTTGGTAGTTAAATCGAGTTCATTAATAAGAAAATTGGGCAAATTTAACGGAGCAGAAACAAAAGTAATGAATGGAAGACTGTTCTTGCGACTTTGTCAATAATCTGTACACCGAATACTCGCCAGGTGTTGCCAAAATTACAATCGATAATAGAGTTTCTGTCATTAAATCTGAGTGATCTGTGTAATAAAATTAGCCTCTGTAATATAATCGATAACTCTGCTGCGAAAAACAGTATAAAAAAAGGCAGATTGTATAAGGAAAAGGAAAATGAATTTGTTATGTTTATGCTATGACGCGTAAACAAAATTCAACCATCACAGTCGAACTGGAATTTTCCTGATTTTCCTCCAGTTCCTTTAAAATTAACCATAGTAATGAAAATTGAGATGTATTACCTTACTCGACGACAAAGTTGCCAGTTTCCACCTTGATCGAAAAAAAGTAATATTTTCCCACGCATATCGCGGGTCGTCACTTTCCTTGCCTGGCGTTACAACTCACGTGAAACCGCCTGGTTTCAAACAACTGAACTGAAGAATCCGTGAAAATCTTAGCCAGGCAATAAATAATGGAAGTTGATATAAGTTATCATTATTAGTGAGCGAGGATCGATGCGATGATAGTTCCAGCTACATGTGTTTACAGCGTTTGAAGATTTACTCAAAACTCATGAGACATGAGCCCTTGAAATAAACATCATTACTTCCGGTTTTAAAAATTGGGCGTTGGCAAAGTAATGAATAGACTCATTCTACCTTGTACACCGTTAACAACGGTTCCGTGTACAATTTTCAGGTATTTTGTCTCAATCACGAAGCCCGTTTTGAGGAGATTCTTGATAAACAGAAAAATTGGTTTGGAAGGGGTTAAGAAGAATGAGGGATGAGCCCGGGACAGCAAAAACCACAGTCACCCCACCGAAGGGCTTTAAAACTGTGCGCAAATGCCTCACCCTAGGGACAATTCCAGATTTTTGTTTCCTTGAAAAAGCTTAAAATCGCTAGACAATGCAGGGACTCTGTAAAGTGCGGATCCGGACGGCGGATCCGGACGGCGGATGCGGACGGCGGACGGCGGACGGCGGACGGCGGACGGCGGACAATAATAAAAAAATAAAAAAATAAAAATAAAATAAAACAAAATAGACGTATAAAATAAATAAACGAGATAAATGAATAAGACGGCGGACGGCGGACAATAATAAAAAAAAATAAAATAATAGAAATAAAATAAAAAATAAAAATAAAATAAAATAAAATAGACGTATAAAATAAATAAACGAGATAAATGAATAAGAAAACATAAGAAAAGCGAAAAAAAAAAAAAAAAAAAGAGAAAATCATTATTAGTCGAGACATTCTCCAATCACTGTCGGAATCACTGTCGGAAATCTTCGGAGAGGAGTCAAACAGAGTGGCCAGACACGTGGCTGGCTCGGATTTCACTAGCAACTCGTGCGAAGAGAAGATCTGTTGTTTTGGTTTGCAGAATTTTGGTTTGTTGTTTTGGTTTTGCAAAATGAACAAGAGAAGCTACGCTGATGTAGTATCTGGAAGTGGTAAGTTCATCTTTGCGCAGTTGTCTGTTTTATTTGGTGTTTGGTGTTTGCCGCAATGCTTTATATCTCTTTCAGGGTCATCGGAATCAGAGTCAGAGTTATTGTGCAGGCAAGTAACCTTTTAACCCTTTTAACCTTTAAAACGCGGACTTTTAGTGTAGGAAATTTGGTTTTGTGGTACAAAGTGTGGTAGAAAATGTGGAGTGTGGAAAATGCGAAGTGTAGAAAATGCGAAGTGTGGTAACTGCAAACTGCACTGCAACTGCACTGTAACAGCAGTGTCATAATATTTACAAATTGATCAGTCCGGCCGGGAACTGTCACAAATGGTATGCCGTTTTTCTGATTACAGCGCAAAAACAGTGCCGGATTCATAGTGGAAACAAGCGGACGAGAGCGCCATATGTACACTTCAGAAAATAATTATTTCTTGTAAAAGTACTGAACCATGCATATGTCAAACGACAGGACATAACGTCCTGCCTATTTTTAACTCATAAAAGGTGGGAGGCCTTGCCTGGCGGCCCTTTCTTTCTCCTGTCCCCTGCCCCTGTACGAAACCTGGACAAACAAACTACTCTTTTCGAAGTAATAAAATCACCAAATTTTATTTTTTGTTTGCAGCCAAATTCGTTGTATCGCGATGCGCGAAATACAAAGTTCGAAGGATTTGGGGTTTTTCTGTTCCGTCAATCATGCCAGTAGGGGGGTGGAGCTATGTAATTCAAAATGCAACGCGCCTGCTTGAGATTTCTGCGAGACAAGAATACACTCTTTTTTTTATAAGAACGTCTAAGTTTGATGCCGAGGCTGAGCGTTCTTTTGGCGATTTGAGGCTGAAACGTTCTTAAAGATGTTCTTAAATTTACCTGGTATAGTATTTCAACCAATTAGTGCGGACGTGACCAGGCAAACTATGAAAGAGCATTTCTTGCTGAGATATGGTATCAAGTTGCTCGCACATACTGGTTTGACTTGACTACACTCCCGGGGGGGGTACTCGATATATCCTTGGTGCGGCCCGGTCCCTCACACCCTGACCCTGTTTAAGACAAAAATCGCTGATTTTCCTACCCTGTTTAAGACAGAATTCCGATTTTTGATACCCTGTTTAAGACATTTAACCCGAAACTATACCCTGTGTAAGACAATAATAAATATCGAAACTCTTTCTTATTTAATCCATTGGCAATCACAAAACTATTTACAGCTTGATTGACAGAGTCACGAGGAGCTCTTAACAGTTGATAAAATCGATACCGTGATTAACACAAAAATGAAAAAATCGATACCCTGTTTAAGACAAAAATGATAAAATCGATACCCTGTTGAAGACAAAAATCCCGAAAAACATACCCTGGCTGGCCGCACGTCCCCATTAAGCCCTTATAAAGGAGTCCCCCCCGGGACTACACTCCGCATTTTCTACCATGATGAAAGCTTAGTTGCCACTGCCACTCCCAGGAACGTTGCCCACAACTGCGTATTCATGGTCGATTTAGATCGCTTGCCTCACCAAGAAGATGTGAAATGTGATAATCTAGGTTCTTGGCGAAACAATGGAACCAAGAATCGCGTGTACGAAATAAATGAGGATGGGTACCCTGAACTGGTTGACGAAGAAGAAGCAAAGGGAAGCAACAGGCACATATACTCTCAAAAGAGTGTACTACAAAAACAAGGCAGCTCCCGACCTGAAGAAAAACATCATGACTTTGAAAGGTAATGTTAACTACTTTTCTACCAGCAAATAGTACATTTTACTAGTGTTTTTAATGCAAATGCTGCGTTTTGATTGGCTGAGCTACTCGTGCAGCCGTTAGAATAGGAGGACGCGCGAGCGAGTGTATAGGTGTTCGAAATAAGTGAAGATTAAATGCTATTTGGGAGAAATGGGGACAAATAATTGGAAATGGTTTTTGATAATTTTGTGAGAATTTTTTAATAAATAACTGTATATTTAGCTCTCAATTTATATGCTCATGATCTAATTGTTAAATACAGGTTGCTTTCGACTTAGACAAAAGAGTGGTGGCAGTGGTACTTTATTTACTCGTTGTTATTTTAGCCATAGTTTTCCTTGATTTTTACTTCCATTTCATCCTGTAGAATATCCCAAGCTGTGCTTAATTCAGTATCTCTTCGATGCGGTGGAGCATAAAATTGATGTACCATGCCATGGAAACGTGAAGAAAGGTGGAAATCCATACACGCGTACTAAGCCAAGTGTTATCGCGAACCTACGTTCCGCAGTAAAAGATCAGAAACCTAAAGCAGCATATCATCAGGTTGAGGAGATGGTCGGTGGTATCATGAACGTAGATTGCCTATCTGACCTGCCAAGGAACAGAGACCAAGCCAGTTATTTAAGGCGAGGCTCGTCAGAAAAAAAGGACCACGTTGACTCCTTAGTGATATTGCTGGAGCAGTTAAAAGACAGCAGTTAGCAAACCCCAAAACCGCCTTTGTTCGTGAAGTTTCTTGCGCACCAGAGTTACG